TTATGCATAAATAGATCACCTCTTTCACATTAGCCATTTTTGATGGTACTTGTGCTTCAAAGACGAGTTTTGGTCATGGGCCCAAGGATAATTCTTCGCGGTGCCATACCATCCAACTCAAACATAGGTGGCTTCGGCCACCGCCCTCTCTCTCCTCGAGAGGTTTTGTCTCTTAGGGTTCTTCTGTTGTTTTCTTGGTTTGTGCTTGTTTTTGTGTGGTTTTGGGTTGCGTCTGTTTTTCGGTGCAAAGGCGTTTTCTTTTTCTCTCGTTTGAAACCTTCGGTGGCGTGAGCTCACGGTACTACCGCGGTCGGCCACGGTACTACCGCCTAGGCGCGGTACTTTCGCCCGGGCGGTACTACTGCGATGACCCGCGGTACTACCGCGCCGGTTCGAGCGCGTGGGGATAAGGCCGGGCAGGGGGAGTTCTAACTCCCCATACCCATTCGTCCTCTTTCTCTCCATGCTGTCTCTTCCTCTCTCGTGCTCACGAACGGAGCCGGCGTTCATCGCCGGATCTCCTCCACCGGCTGCCCTCCCGTGATTCCGTCCGGTGGGATCGTTCCCCACCACGTGCTCTTGCAATGGACCAAGGTTTTCCCCAAATCCTTCTCCTTTTTGTGTTTGGTTCTTCTAGGTTTTGGGGAAGGCTTGTATGTTCTTGAGGTTCCTAGACTAAATCTATGCAAGACTAGGATGAAGGAGTGTGGTATTGCATAGGATTGACACTTGTATTGTTGTCTAGCGCTACATCTGATCACCGTAGCACCGCCATGGCTTCGCGGTTCTTTTTTAGATTCAAATCCTGTTAAATTTGATGCGACGCGGTACTACCGCTCGCACGGTACTACCGCCCCTAGGGCGCGGTACTACCGTGCGTCGTGTGGTACTAAAACTTTACTACTGCCCCAGCCACGGTACTACCGTGGCCCCGCCCGGTACTACCGCATCTGGAGCTGTACTAAGCCTTTAGTACCGCAAACCATGGCCGATCTACCGTGGTTCACATCTATCGCATGCCAACTTTCTCGTTTATCTTCTATGGGTTTCTTGTGCTGTCTTATGGCCTTTGCATTGATTCTTTTCGCCTTGTGTTTTGGTGCCTTGCGTGTGTGTCTCAGGTGGTGGCTCTCGCCGGGCCAATCCCGTTCGTGACACCGGCTCCAAGCGTCTGCGTAACCCAGGAGAAGTTCCCGAGGGATCATCTGCGTCCAAGCGAAATGTCAAGACCACAGCTAGCAAGCACAAGGAGCCCGCCAAGGGTATGGATGAGATAGGCCCTACCGAGTATGTCCGTCTCAGGCAGCTTCACCCCTATGCGACCCCTCGCTCCACTGTCAGAGGGTGTGAACTGTTCTGGAACAAGACCCAAACCATGATCTACTTGGATGTCATCAAGAACAAGTAGAATACCTATGTGGAGGTAAAGTGGATTGATATGCACCACATGAGGAAGGACAAGTTTCGTGACTACTTTGGTGAGGCTCTGGACTTGGTGGAGCAGTTTGGAATTGAGCATGTGATCTCTTTCCACCTGGACTATGACCCTGAGATCATCTGTCAGTTCTTTGCCTCAGTGTATTTTCACACCAATGATGAAAGGAGGATGACTTGGATGACCAATGGCCGCAAGCTGTCTGCTACCTGGAAGGAGTTCATGGATTTGCTTCGAGTTGCTGATGATGGACTTGACACTCCTGTTGGTGTTCGCCCTCACGGCAATGCTGACTCTGCTAACAAGGACAAGCTCACCCCGTTCATGGTTGAGAAGACGCTCGCCAATAGCAAGACAATCTTGGTTCTCAACCCCTTTCTGGATATCATGTACCGCATCTTCCGCAACTCCTTGTTCCCCCGCATAGGTGACAAAGACAAGGTTCATGCCTATATGGTGGACATGATGCTTATTTGCCAGGATGCTCGCTTTGTCTCAGACTCAGCCACTTGATGTCTCTCACATCATGTGGTGTGAGCTCCGGTTTGCCGTGTTCAACCGCAAGGTGCCTATTTATGGGCCCTACCTGTTTCTACTGATTTCAAAGACTTGGGAGAAGATGTACCCTGAGGAGGAGTTCCTGGCTCCAGACTGGGTTTGCCATGAGCCCATTTGTCTGAGGGTCAAACCCAACTGGGCTAACACCGCTACTCGTGTTGAGGCGTCTGCTGCTAGGGCTGCTGCTGTTGATGAGGATGTTGCTGGCACCGAGGGCCGTTCTGCTAGGCCCTCTCAGAGTGACTCTAGGCCATCTTGGGCCAAGAAGTTGAAGGAAAAGATGAAGTCTCTTTTCTGCATGCAAGCCAAGGGCCAGTACAGGGCTCACGTGGAGTCCAAGGAGAGACGTCGCCGGCACAACAAGGTCCTGCAGCTCTATGGCGAGGATGTGTTTGGCGGGTTTGAGGAGCACATCACTCCCGAGACCGAGTGGATGGAGAAGCAAGGATACAGGTGGACTGATTCTGAGGAGGAGGTCGAGGAGTCTATTCCAGCTGCAGAGGCGTCTGACGAAGTACCATGGGACGACTTCTCTGCTTGAGCCACCTCTTGTGCGTTTAGGTGTCCTCTCTGCCTTTTTGGCGTCTCGATGCCAAAGGGGGAGAGAGTGTAGGGATTTGCGATTTGCGAGTTTGTGTGTCGTGTGTTTGCTGCTTTCAGTTGAACTCTCTGCCTTCAGTTGAACTCTCTGCTGTGTTTCTCGTCAGTCGTTTGGTGTAAGACATATGCACTCTATCTATCCTAGCTAGCCTGTGTTATATTGTGCTTCTTTCATGCTATGCTATGCCTATTATCCTGTCTTGGTCTCTAAAATATAGGGGGAGTGTTGATCCTAGTTTATGTGCCATGCAGTCCAAAGCATTCATCTAAAGTGCACACATCTAGGGGGAGCCCTGTCTATATTTTAGAGAAGTGGGGTTTGCCACTGCTCTAATATTATCTTATCTTTGTGCAAATCCCGTGTTGTCATCAATACACCAAAAAGGGGGAGATTGTAAGGGCATATTTTTCCCTAAATGTTTTGGTGATTGATGACAATGCTTGTGCGGACTAATCGTGTGCCTTGAGTCCCTCAGATTTCTCATCATTAGGTACAAGACGATTCGGTGCCCCTCGGAGACTGTTGAAGCCGGCATTGTTCTACGTTTCTCCTTGGTGGAGTTGAGTCGTAGGAGAGCCGTACTATTAAGAGGGGGTCCGCGTCGGAAAGGTAGGGTGGAATCACACGTACACTTGTCCCTCCTTTCCTTGCACTTTGGAGCTACCCGTCGTTATCTTGGTTGTGTGGAAAACTGGCGACTACTGCTGTACTTGCGGTAGTACCGCAGGTACGAGCGGTAGTACCGCGACTCTTAACGGTAGTACCGCCCCCTTGGTGCGGTAGTACCGCGGCTCCCTGGCCTAGTGCCGCTCCGGTGCGGTAGTAGGGGGCGGATGTAATTTTTTACATCCACGCCATTCATGGTAGTACCGCTCGTCCAGCACGGTAGTACCGTGGTGGCACACGGTAGTACCGCTCCCTTGGAGTTGTAGTACCGTGGCCCTTTCGGCCTAGTACCGCAGTGTCGCGGTAGTAGGCGCGGATGAAATTTTTTTCATCCGCGCCGACCACGGTAGTACCGCGCCTCGCAGGCGGTAGTACCGCGTCGGGTTTTCGCACCACCCTAGTTTCTGCGGAAGTTTGCACGGATGTAAGTTATTTTCATCCGCGCCCTTCCCAGGCCGTGACTCTCCTGCCTTGCGGTAGTACCGCAACGGGGAGCGGTAGTACCGCGCGAGCGGTAGTACAGCCCCTTCTTCAGGCTTGTTCCGGCCTGTGCAGTTGCCACGGTAGTACCGTGGTGGACCACGGTAGTACCGCACGGCGCCGCGGTAGTACCGCGTCCTTGGAGCGGTAGTACCGTGTGTCGCGGGCAGAACTAGTGGATAACGGTTGGATTTTTTCCACGACTATATAAGGGTTGTCTTCTACCTCTAGTTGACCACCTCTTCCACCTCTAAGCTCCATTGTTGCTCCAAACTCCATTTTCCCCCGATCTCTCTCCCTAGCCAATCAAACTTGTTGATTTGCTCGGGATTGGGTGACAAGGGCCCGATCTACACTTCCACCAAAGGATATTTGATTCCCCCCACTTATCCCTTGCGGATCTTGTTACTCTTGGGTGTTGAGCACCCTAGACGGTTGAGGTCACGGTTGAGGTCACCTCAAAGCCATACTCCATTGCGGTGAAGCTTCGTGGTGTGGTTGTTGTTGGGAGCCTCCGATTGTTGTGGAGATTGCCCCAACCTTGCTTGTAAAGGTTCGGTCGCCGCCTTCAAGGTCACCAATAGTGGAATCACGGCATCTCGCATCGTGTGAGGGCGTGAGGAGAATACGGTGGCCCTAGTGGCTTCTTGGGGAGCATTGTGCCTCCACACCGCTCTAACGGAGACGTACTTCCCTTTAAAAGGAAGGAACTCCGGTAACACATCCTTGTCTCCATCGGCTCCACTATTGGTTATTTCGTGCCTTTACTCTCGCTTGCTTACTTATTGTTACATCTCTTGTTTGCTTGCATGCTAGTTGATATTGCATCATATAGGTTGCTCACTTAGTTGCATATCTAGACAACCTATTTGTTGCAAAGTTTAATTTGGTAAAGAAAAGGTTAAAAATTGTTAGTTGCCAATTCACCCCCCCCCTCTAGTCAACCATATCGATCCTTTCAACTTGGATTGATCTATGCCTAAACTTAAATGGCACATACACTTCAAGCTTAGATTTTCTGATCAGCAAATTACAATGGCAAAGAACAAATTTCAGGGCACTCACCGATAGCATTTTTGACTTGTGGAACTTGCTTGCCTTGAAGTATTATCTGTATTACCATTTTCTCATGGAGCATCTCTGAGTGGTGGGAACCAAGTTATCTAACTTCACAGAATGTTCTTATAATTGGGCTTATGTACTTGTGCTAGCCGAGTAGTATTTACATTGGGGCTGACAGATTTGTGTGCACCTTTTCAGGTAGGAAGCGTTCTCTGAACAACGTACTAATGGAACTGCGAAAATGCTGCAATCATCCGGTAGATTTTGCATCCATTTAGTTGTTGAAGGCTACATCTACTTCCCTTGAATCTTTCTTGCCATAAACTTGTGGAATTCCATGTGTCTTGATATTTTATGATAAGGAACATTTTGACAAAGATTTGTGTGAGGTGGCGATATAACATATTTAGTGCAGTGTGTCATGCATTTGAATTCTGCATTCTGTAGTATGTTTTGATGCAAACTAATAGATTTTAACTTTAAGTCTCGCTTCTCCTGCTAATTTGTTTCACCTTCTCCAGTATTTGTTTACAGGATCGGATGGTAAACAACATGCAGGAGAAGATGTTCTCCAATCACTAGTTTCTGCATCAGGGAAACTTCAACTCTTACAGAAGGTGCCTTGACCTACTACTACTGCATCCTATCTAGCGTTGCTCGCTTATTTGTTCCATATGTTTTGTTCTTGGATGTAATAATCGTCAATTCTTAATCTGCAGTTGCTCCCAAAATTGAAAGAGAGAGGGAACCGTGTATTGATTTTCTCCCAGATGACGAAGATGCTTGATATTCTTGAGGACTTCCTTTCTTTCCTGGGATACACATATGCACGGTATGTTTCATTAATCAGACCTATTCAATCTTCTGATGGATATATGGTTCCATTTATCCTATCCTACAGTGATGCTCAATATTTCTTCAGTCGTTTCAGAGTATAGCTGACATTTTTTCTCTTTCTTCTTTTGACTTAATATATCTGTGTTGGCGTGCAGCATTGATGGACAGACAGCACTCTCTGAGAGGCAGGAGAGCATAAAAGAATACAACAACGCTGAAAGTGAAACATTTATTTTCTTGATGTCAACTCGTGCTGGTGGTATAGGTATTGACCTGGTATGAATTCTAATACTCACAGCCTCATCTGTTTTTATTTCTTCCACTTTATGGAACTGGACTAACATTATTCACTATTATGGCAGCCTGGTGCTGATAGAGTAATTATATATGGTGAGTGGTTTTTAATTATCTGCTTCATTCACCTTAAATCCTCTTGGCACTTATTTTTCCTTTGCGTGTTCAGATCCAGACTTCAATCCATTTATGGACTTGCAAGCACAGTCCAGGGCTCACCGGATTGGCCAGACCCGACTGGTGGTTGTTTACCAGCTTATTACAAAATGTTCTGTTGAAGCGAAGATATTGCAGAAGTCTAAGCAGAAGCTGGCCATTGAAAATATTTTAATGAACTCTTCCAAGAAGCCGCCAAGTGCAGATGAGCTGAAGTCCATTCTACTACATGGAGCCAAGATAATTCAGGACAAAAAGGAGATTAAAGCTGTATCAATCCATTATGACGACGAGGCCATTGAGAATCTCCTCAAGCTAGATCCTTCGAGCGACGAGATGTGCACTTCAGAGTGCAACGGCTATCTTGGCGGCATCGAGAGCTTTCCTCATGGTGCCGAGGACGTAGTACCTCCCTCCCCCAAGGTTGAGGAATTAAAAGTATTCAAGCCTGCCACTCCCAAGGTGGATCTTGGCCGCGGGAGAAGGCAGAGGAACCTCGTGAAGTATTTCGAGGAGACGGACAATGAAGACAGTGATGACATGTACGCTCCAGAGGCTTCCTCCTAGTCCAGTAGCTCTTCCTCTGATGATGAAACAGATGAAGAAATTCCTGAAGTAGCACGCGCTAGAACTGAAGTAGACATGAAAGCTGAAACAGTGAGCGTTGTGAAGCCAGAAGTAGCTCCCGTTCCAGCCCCTCTTCCTCAGAGTCAGAGTCCGGCAGCTCTTCCTCAGATGAAACGGAAGAGGTTAAGCCTATTGTAGCAGGCGTGAAGTCTCAAGCGTCCGGCAGCTCTTCCTCGGAGTCCGGTAGCTCTTCCTCAGAGTCAGAGTCTGGCGGCTCTTCCTAGGATGATGAAACCGAAGAGGTTAAGTCTGTTGTAGCACCTGACAGTTGATGCAGAAACTCAGGCTAGTCGTCCATTCCTTTTGTATAGGATTATCTATATAACTGCGTAAGTAGAATTATGTGGCTGATTTATATGCCGACTTTTGGGGCATCTGCCCATGTATGGTGAGAACTGACGAGTGATGACACCTTTATTACCTTATTTATTATGGTTGTTGATATATAGCTAGTACGTAAGAATTATGAGTGATGGCATCTACTCCCTCCGTTCTGAATTACTTGTCGCGGGTATGGATGTGTCTACATGTATTTTAGTTTTAGATACATCCATTTCTGCGATGAGTAATTTAGAACGGAGGGAGTATATATTACCTTGTTATAAGAATTATGGTTCCTGATACTGTCTGGTAACACCTGGCATTTGCACATTTTTCTCTCCTGATGAGGAAATGCAGAAGTTGTCTACATGCATTGCTGACATGGCTAATACTCCCAATCTACAACTCCCAACTTTCTAAGGAGCAAATTCCGGGCGTTTGTTGAAGTAAACTCATGATGATGGATTGTGTGATGCTGAAGACTGCGGCATTTCTATACCTCCAAATCCACCAAACGGTGGGCATGAAGTCCTTCCCGGACTGGTGGTCTCGCCATGGATCTGGCCATGCAAGGACCTTATGCATAAGGCTTGTGAAAAGAGGGCAACTGGAGCAGAGGCGACCCACCAGGACCAATGTCTGTCCCTTTGGGTTCGGCGGCGGCGATGCTTTGCTGTTACTCAATTTTGAGATGTCGTGTTGAGCTCATGTGCCTTAGGTCGGCGTCGTCTTCAGGCTCATGCCCGACAGCGAGGCCTTGCCATTTGTAGTGGACTCGTGTGTTTTTTCAATGCGGTTTACCTTATTCGGTTCATTCCTTGATCTGCTTGTAGAAGAGATTCACCACTGCCTTGTATTGTTTGGCATTGTGGCTTCATTTATAATGGGAGGCGAAATCTATTTCAACAATGGTCTCTTCTGATTTGTCAACACCTCGGCGGGTGTTGTAGTCCCCTCCACGACGCCAGTTCAACCCCCAAGACCTTGACAGTGTTGTACCAAGATTTACGAAGTAGTGAGCGTCGTTAGTCCAATGCAGACACCAATGCGGATAATTAAATAGTCTCCAAATATTCGGATCTGGTAGCCTGGACATTTTTACCATCCAACGATGATCATCAAAATTGTTTGGACTTACGTCCGAAATCCCACAAATCAGAACCAAACCTAGGGAGGTTTGGGGGAGTCAGGATATTCATCACGTCGGATTCCGATACCCCCGGCTAACCAAAATACCCTATCCGGAGCCTTTTTCACCCCCACTCCGTCCCTCCCCATGTGCTCCGTATCTGCACCCTCATAGACTGCCGCCACCGTTGTACCACCCCGGCCGCAGTTCAAGCCTTGCCGGACCTTCCCCACCCCACCTACGCACTTGCCCACATTGGACTAAGCCGCCGTTCCACCCCGGATCGGGCCGCAGCCCAGGTATCCTCCGCCCTTTGTGGATGTCGGCCATGGCAGACACTACGCCCGGCAAGTGTTCGGTCAAATGTCGTTTCTAATATTCTTGATGTTATCATTGTTTACTTTGAAACAAACACAGTGGCAATGTACTCGGTGGAAGGGGGAGGGTGATCTGTTGTGTGAGGCATGGTTGCAATTTTTTGTTGATAGCTTACCAAGATGACCACTTGGTGTGCGAGGCATGGTTGGGCATAAGTGTGGAGTTTCAAGGCATGAAGCAAACCGCCGTGACATTTTGCCAACGTGTACATGCATGTTTGGTTCAATGAGCACAAGCACTACATGCCCTACAATGTGAAGGTGAACCATGATTGCGGTGCGAACTCGGTACTCTATCAATGGCATGCCATTCAGAAAACCGCCGACATGTATTGTGTTGTGTGTATGCACAATTGCAAATAAGGTGACCAAGGGGCGCGTCATCAGAAGAACCCATAAGTTTTGCTTCTTGTTGCTCTACGGGTAATCATTTCATTGCTTTGCTCAATGTTGCAACTTGGGATGTCTTTGGTTACCCGCATGAGGACCAACCAGGCCCGCGCAGGAAAAAAATGGGGTGTTTGGTTACCCGCATTCACTGTTTGGCCTGCACTGCACAAAGCTTAAAGCACCTTGGGGCCAGGCCAGATGGGAACCGCCGAATCAAAAGTTTTTCCATAGCCAGGCTCGCGATATGCACGCGGGCGGCGACGGTTGGACGTGGGGAGACACGTTTTGAGACGTCATGATGTTTCCTACAACACTAGCAATAATTACCCTCACCGCGCTCTCTCCATTCCCCCACCTTCACACCGGCTGCGATGGTCCGTGGATCGGAGAACAGCAAGACGACCACCGACCTCCATCACGGGCATCACCAACATCTCCCGTAGCACTTCGTCAAAGGCGATAAGCCCTATTTTCATCTCCTAGCTTATGATTTTTGTATCCGGTCCGCGTTTAGGTTCGACCTGCATTCTAGGGGAATGGGGAATCGGGAATCGGGATAAATAGCCATAGTATTGATCAACACTTCTTCACGAGTACTAAGTAGTGATGGATTTTAGGGTTCCAACCAGGATTGACTACAAGGGGAATGGGGATTTGGGGTTAATCTTACATAGTAGCGGTAAATCCTAGCCGCAACGACCCTGGAGGTGCTTGGAGCAGCGTCCCCCCTTGGCCTTGTAGTTCTCTCCTGGCTCGACCATAGCATGCACCCTCTCGTCATCCTCGTCATCGTCCAGATCGATTGACATACTATGGTGGCCTGGCTCCGGGGCCCTGACCACCACCTCCACCGCTCCATCTTCCTCCTCCAGCTCTGGAGCGATGACCTCTGGCACCACCTCTGTCTTAGCCCAGAACGCCGTGGCACACTAGTCTTGAGGAGCTTTTTACCCCCTGTACTTGGCCCATCTTGCTCTCCGACCAACATCGCCGGAGTCAGCCTGATTCATGGCCCAAAGCAAGATGTCCACCGCATAGCGCTCTTCACTAGGCCATGAATCAACGTATTCAACTTCTCCATCATCGCCTTCTTGACCAAAACGTTAGCCTCCTTGTGCATGTCCTCGATGCTTGTGAAGTTTGAGCACACTTCCATGGTGTTCTCGAACTTGGTGCGAGCACCCCTAGGAAGAAAGCTCTCCAACCAATGCCCCAAGGGAATGGGTTGGGGATGGGATTCATGGTGATGGAGAGGTGGAAGAGGTGTGAGAGTGAGAGACCTTGAGGGTTAATTAAGTGCGGTGGTGGGTAAGTAGTAGAGTGTTTGGGTGGGTAAATATAGGGGCGTTGAATGGTAGGATTTAATGCTGATCAAACTTTGAACTTTGTGTTGTTCATAATGCGGATCGAGATGGAGAACAAGGGTAAGGAGGTGGTGCCGGCCTTGGAGGATGTGCCATCCATGGCTGAGGACATGTTGGTGGAGGAACCCCCCAGCGGCAAGTGCCGAAACTATGGGCACTACCATGAGGAGGCAGGGCTAACTCACTTCTAGAAGGTGATCCTTGCCCCAAAGCTGGAGTGCCTTCCTATGCCTCTGGACTTCATGAAGTACTTCCCGACTGTGCCTCAGGAGTTCAAGCTGAAGATGAACACAAGTTGTGCATGGAGGGTTACGGTACCGCTGATGAATAACAGGGTCACACAGTGATCAGGGTTGGGCCCCCTTCACCGTTTTCCTCCAGATCAGGATCGAGTACATGGTCACCTTCAAACTCCTGACTCCCGACACCATGAAGGTGATCGTCTTCAACAACGACGGCATTGAAGTGGTGATCAAGTGCGGGAAGCATGACGACGCCTTCGATGTGAACGTCTAGGAGAGCTCTCTTTTGCGCTTGCTGGTGTAGTTTGTAATATGCCATATTTGTTCTTGTAAGTGCATCTAGTGCCACCCCATTTGTTGGTTTTAGAGTATTGACGACGAACTTGGTTGAGGGACTAATGTGTTTGTGAGATACACAGGATAACACAGATAGAAGTCCCTGGAGATTCGGTTTAGCTGTCGAAGACGACCCTTAAAAATTTCTTAAGACATTGAAACCATTGGTGACCTATGAAGATAATGATTGAAGACAATGGAACATGAAGATTTAGCTGATTTGTTTTTTTCATTTTCTGTTTATTGAGTCATGGGAACCACCGTACTATTAAGTGGGGTCGAGGTAATACGAAGACAGTTGTTGAAGTGTTTGCTCAACCAAAACCCCTAGGTCTTCTTCTGAAGACAATGAGAGAAAAATCTCTTCTGGAGTTGGATGAGTCATCATTGCTTGTAGCCCAAGTAATGTTGCCGCGTATATTTGAAATCCGACTGTTGGGACACATGTCAGTTGATTGATGGCACAGGGTCATTTCAGTCAAATCATGTCATTGCCTTTGGCTATAAATAGCCACCCCTTCCACCATAAGTTGGTGGCTGCTTCGAGATATTGCACGACTTTTGTCGTTTGAGAGTAACCCACCTCCGAAGCCTTTGAAAGAGATTTTCTGTGAGGAAAAACCCAAACATCCAGAGCCCAAAGTGATTGAGCATCATTGAAGATATCATGTTCTGGGTGAACTGAAGACTTATTACACTTGAAGACTGTGATCTTCCAAACGGTTAGGCATCATGTTTTGGGCATCCAAGAGTCATTGTGGATTGACGGTGAACAAGTTTG